ACTCATATTATTTTTTCTATAAAAAACACTAGAGAAGACACTGTACACATAACCTTATTTTCATTAAGTGATATAAATTTCATCATGTAATACCAACTCTGACATCTTTAGATTACAAGTTACCAATCTGTTTCTTTTCAACAAGTTTCCATGATTCTGAAATTGGCTGATTTGAGATTATAAACATGTGGTATGAGATTACAAACACGTGGGCTGAGATTACAAGCATCAGCCAAGGTTTGAAGTGAGAAAACGCCTGCACCTGCCTTTTCCTTAAATGGAAACATTGTCCTTAAGACACCAATCAAAATTAACTCATGGTTAAGTAATGCATCATCTAATTTAATTTTAGAAGGAAATGAACTTGAGCAGCTGTTTTGTACTGTTTTCAGCGATCTCTCTCGTACATCTTGATCTATGCGGGTTACTTTATCTTCTATTTTGTGTCATATATATTCCATATCATTTCCTTAGTTTGGTTTCCATTTCACAGATTAGGATGTCAAATTTCTCATTCTCGTACTATCTCATGAATTAATCATCTACAAATGTAGAGATATTTCAAAAATCTGTTTGAGGGTAAATATTCTGGAATTTTAGAGAACAACAAGTTTTTTCCATCTTTAAATCAAGTTTCAAGAACAAAAACACTCTTAGAAATTGTTATTCATGTTGTTGTGTAAACAGAACTGCTAACAAGTATTAACTTCAATTAAATTTAAATAACAAGGGGGCTATCCTATTTTTCAGAATGTGAATATTAATTAATTGCTGAATGACTCAGCAATTCTATTTATTTTTAGGCACAGGATGGTCATACCTTGACACATACGTTAGAATCCTGTTTGAATTCTACTTTCTGCATAATTAACTTACTTCGTTAAGACTTTTTTTTCCATGATAGAATGAGCACACCAAGTGTAATTTAACTGCAATAGTCTGTTCTCAGGTTGACATACACAAAAAACTAATGGAATGCAATGCAGTACATGCAAAGTACAAGTAATGTAAACTTATTTTTAATGATTGAAATCATAAAATAAGAAGTTTTAAGAATTTTGAGTTGAATAACAGCACCACCACACATTATATATGCCAGTCAGAAGTTTGACAGCTTTGTCAATTGTGTCATCAAAATGATCTTCAGCATTAACAAAATATTAGCCCCGTTATCAACAAAGAATGACTTTCAATATTATGTGACATAATATATGGTTAAGATATCTATTTATAAACAAGATCAGGAAACTCATTATCATAACCTAACATTACATCACAGCCTAAGATGACGACTTGACGAGAATGGATAAATAATATCATTTCCGTTTTCCGATGACAACACGAAACTAAACATCAAAGGGCTGACCAACACTAGTCTAACTTAAAGATGTTAATAAGAAATCTCCATCATTTGTGTATTTCAATTAGATACGGAATGCCGATAGCTATTTCAGTCACGATTTACTTATTAAAAGTAGATCATTGATTGTTAATAACAGCACCTACTTAGGTGTCTTTGTGAAGTGACAATAGGAAAGTAAATTAGCGTTTTGGTTGGAATTTCAGCGATTTCTAATTTCCTTTATTGGGACCTGTAATGTTTGCCTCAAGTATAATGGTGTCCATTATGAAGTGACTCAGTAGGTTTAACAGATTACCTAGCCACACCTGTGATCAGGATACCTATCTACCCGTCTAATCCTCGACACAGGTGATTTGACGAAAAAGCATAATACCTTCAGTTTCTAAAACATGTCAGGATACCTTCAGTCTTTAAACCAAGTCTATTCAAAAAGGCATTGTATAATTCCATTAGTATATACTTCTTTTATCAGATGCCAGAATGGTAACTGATACTAATATATCTTCATCTTTTCCCCAAAATGAAAATGAGAAAAAGAGGTGGGGGTGGTGGGGGAGTTATAATAATAACAAATTTTCTTCACTTTAAAAATATACCACCAAACCATACTTTAATGCACCTCCTTTCCAAAGAGTTCCAAACAAAGAAATAAGCTATATGGTAACAATTTGACTGTTGATTGATTTTCAGTAATCGATAATACCACTCAGAATACTAAAGTATGATGTTCATTTCAGAGCATGGACTTATATGTACACAAAGATCTCTAAATATACTGTATAGCACTGAAAGTCATCAAACTGTAGCCACCCTAAAACATACTGGTGTGACTAGTAGGAAATTATTTTTATTGGAATTAATGTGCTAATTTAGAGGCTGTATCTGATGTCATGTTTACCCAGTGAGATGAAAGACTGACACACTATCAGCTTTATCTATAACACGGTTCATATCACAGGTAACATAAATTAAACCCTGACAATGCATACAACCTACTGATGAAACACTATCACATGATAAACTTGGTAATATAACTCCTTAACAGGAAAACAAAACATCTATAATGTAATAAGTAAAGCAAGTCATTACCACTGACGATAGATATGGGTGGGGTTATTTCCAGCCACTGACGATAGATATGGGTGGGGTTATTTCCAGCCACTAATGATAGATATGGGTGGGGTTATTACCAGCCACTGACAATAGATATGGGTGGGGTTATTACCAGTCATGGACAACAAATATGGGTGGGGTTATTACCAGCCATGGTCAATTGGTGTGGGTTGGCATATACCAGTCATACAGTAGATATGAGTGGGCTTATTACCAGCAATAAACAATAGGAATAGGTGGGCTTATTACTAACCATGGGCAATAGGTATGTGTGGGCTTATTACCAGCCATGGGCAATAGGTATGAGTGGGCTTATTACCAATCATGGGCAATAGGTATGGGTGGGCTTATTACCAATCATGGGCAATAGGTATGGGTGGGCTTATTACCAGCCATGGACATTACATACTGGTGGGCTTATTACCAGCCATGGACAAGAGATATGGTGGACTTATTACCAGCCATGGACATTAGATACTGGTGGGCTTATTACCAGCCATGGACATTACATACTGGTGGGCTTATTACCAGCCACATACAAGAGATATGGTGGGCTTATTACCAGCCATGGACAAGAGATATGGTGGGCTTATTACCAGCCATGGACATTAGATACTGGTGGGCTTATTACCAGCCACATACAAGAGATATGGGTGGTCTTATTACCAGGCATTAACAATAGATATGGGTGGGCTTACTTACATTGTTGCAACATTTCAAATAAAACAAGTTTCAAAATTCGTTGATTTTATCGAAAGCAGACAGTATCAATAATATTTAAGTTGAATTAACTGTGATCATTGCAATATACTTGGTCTGTTCTTCATGATATTAAGCCGAAAACCAATTTATTTATTGGTATGAGAGATAAGGGTGATGTCCTCACATGATCAAACCTCATGATTCCTCCGGGGCACCGTGACCCAACATTACATACTGGTACGTGTTACAAGCCCGAGGTATAGGTCTTACAGGATTCAGGTAGGTGTTACAGTACTAAGATAGGTGTTACGAGACCCCGGTAGCAGGTACCAAATACATCAATATTTTACCTGTGTGTCAACATTCCTCAAATTCCATCAAAAGATGGATAGATAAACTTCCTAGTAAAATCTGACACAGATTTTAAACTTCAATACACAATTTTTGACATGAGCATCTGATGTTTCCGATTAATCAACATTTATATTAAATATACAACAAATAAATCTAACTTACGCTTGTGTTGATGTGATATTTTTGTATCGTTAAAAGAAATCTGTTGTGAATTACAAATTAATCAACAAAATTGAACTTATTGCAGTTTCATACAAGTTTAAAACTCTGACTTTATAAAAAAGTTAATTACTAATAAACGATTGCAATTTCATCTGAGATTGTAAAATTCTGACTTTATAAAAAAGTTAATTACTAATAAACGATTGCAATTTCATCTGAGATTGTAAAATTCTGACTTAACAAAAACCGTTAATTACCTGTTTATGACATCCTGTTTCTACATAAATGCCACACTGATGGAGATTGATATTTCATGGTAACTTATCTCTACATCAATATAACACCGAAGATTTCATTCACGCCTCAGTGAAAGTTTCACCTCCTAAATATCACGACATACAGTTCAGAAAACATAAACAAGCTAAAGATCAGATTCTAAGAAGAAATTTGAGATTCCAGTTTTGACTTTGATATTTTTGATGATGTGTGAACGACTTTGAAGAATTTATTAAGATAATTAAGAAATTAAGATAAAATTGATCTTATCATATCTTACATAAATCTTAACAGATACATCTGTACGTGTGTAAATACTTTAATAGATAATGGATGGTATTAGATAACATATATGCATGTTTTAAGGTTTAGGCACTGACAAATATACTCCATGATATCAAAACTAATACATTTGTATTTTTAAATTTCATGCTGATTCTGACCTCATTGCGAAATCTGCCTTAAATATTATATATTTATCAGCATACACCGTCACCTATTTACTACAATGGGCCATGTTTTTAACTTAATACATTTATGTCAATTTAGCAAGATTTGCTTCATAAAACTTGGGCACAACAAAGATAACTTTTTGTCACATTATGATGCAAACAGATTATCATGACAGAAATTAAATGCTACATAGCACAGAACACTTCATGAATAATCATGTTTTTAATATCATACATTATGTTTCTAGTATTGTTGTTGTAGCTTCATAGTCAAGGATTATAACCCTACCCAGCTGTATAAGTGTGCACCACCAAGCTGGAAGTAACCCCGAGAGAGACTCACACAAGTCTTCACAAGATCATCAAACATTGACTTTTACTCGTACTTCAAACCATGGTATCTATCTCCAGCCTTTGCCTGACTTAGAAATCGTTTATTTTATATGGTACAACAGAATTTTGAAATAGTTCTCGATGAGAAACAAGGTCAACTGTATATCTGTCAAGAGGCTTAAGTGGTCAAAGTATTGTTATTAATAGCTAGTACACAGAGCTCTTTAAAATAAAATGATACTTACAATTTAAGTGTCAACATCCCACTTTATCATCAACCATCTGTAAAAGATGAAATATCAATCTATTACAAAACCACAGACTCACAAAAACTGCAACGTCTCGTTACCATTTTTTTCTGAGAATATGCACACATTGCAAGTAGTCAGAATTCATTGTCAACCTAAGATGTAAATAAATGACAGATGGAATTGATTATAGTGACACTTATTCAAATAAGCCTTCAAATTTTCACTGCTTAAAATAATTACATGTATTGCGAAATTACACAAATTATGGTTCTTACAAACAGCCGACACGCTGTATAGTATAAGCTGTCACACATCAGCTGATTATACCTAATACACTATAAAACTTTGTACCACAGAGAAATTCTGATTCTTTATAGCTCCTATATTTAGTCATGTCCATCCCATGATCAGTTTGCCTATATGGGGGGTAATTATCACTGTTTTTTCAAACAACTATATTAATTGACTACCATGAAATAAAAAGATTTGCATGCATGTATCATAATTTCCAGGTTATAAGCCGCAGCTTTTCTCCTCTCCGGTTGGGCGTGTGGCTTACATGATGACGGGGCTTGTATATGGACGAAAAAAACTGGCAGAATGAAAAAAAAAAATTTTAAATGACGTGATTCGTCTGGACATCTGTTCCAGACTGTTATGTATTTCAGAGCGGCTATTATTTTTTCAAGTCATATCACATGCACTATTGACTTGCATGATCTCCTGCCCTAATAATTTTGGTTGCTGTTACATGTCACGCTTACAGAAAGAATAAAAATAGTGGTTTAAACCAAGGATACCAGTGCGACAGTACAAGACGTCGGTACCAAGTTTTTAAAGAGTACCAGTCCATCACATGTTTGTGAGTGAAACAGATCATCTAGAACCGTCATTTGCAATCGTATACAGGATGAATTGAAGATTGAAATAAAAATAGCATTCTCATGGATGTAATTAATCATACCTTTTAATATAAATCACAATTATATCTTCTGCACTTTCGTGGTTGCTTCGGAAGGCATAGCGGAAGTTTACAATAGCCTGTTGCATCCCAACATCGATAGGTCATCGCGTCAAATTTTTGAACGGCTGCCATGCTTATTTACAATAAGAATGGCTAATATCTAACAGTACAGACACCGATGGAGATGTTGTTGACTTAACTGTATGTAACATCAGACACTATATATCTGTGTATAAACAATCTTTAAAGACTCCCAAGCCAAACAAGTTTGATAATTGCAATTTTACTTTTTTGAAACATTTCAATGAAATGATGGATTATCTGTGTATAATTAATTTTCAAACTTATATTAAATGTTTCACTGACAATCTTGATAAATTGCCTTCCCTTGTCTGTTATATCAACAAACTTTGTTCAACATAACAGTTACCACATCACAAGAAAGTATCCGGTTTATATTTTGGTGCGTCTTATATGTGGATCAAATAGCGAAAAAGAACTAAAATCCAGCCATTCAGCTTATACTTCATTCAGCTTATACTCGGATGCAGCTTAAAGGCCGGAAAATATGGTAATTACAAGGATTATGCGGATGAAATATATACCAATATATACATCAAAAACCAAATAAGACAATGAATATTCAAGACATACCAAATGAATCCACGAATATTCATTACAAGTAAGAAGAAGAAAACCAACAGTATACCCTACAAACTATAAAATAACTGTGCTCCCGATCTCTGGACACATCTGTAAAAAATAACTAAACATCAACCAATATTTGCGCTGAGTTTCAACTGCCTTTCAAAATTTATCCCCACACAGAGTACAATTCACATGAATGAAACGTATCAGTTTGCATTTTCTCCATTAACTCTTTGAATTCCAGTCATCTTCAAACAACCTAGTTTTTTTTTTCATGGATCCTGTGAAAACACATGCATGCACTCTTATCATGTCCAAACTTCTGTTGATCATGTGCTTTTACAAATGTGACATTCCTATCTCCAGTAGAGGAGAGCTCCTTATCAGGCTCTGTTTGTAGTTAGACTCTTTAATCTGTTTCAACCTGTTGATGAAGCCAATCTATCAGTGTAATCAGAGACCCTGACTGTGTAAACATTTGTTCTCAATTTCCCCCTTCTTAGATAGATGCTGTGGCTGAATATCCATATACCTAACATCTAGCTAATTTCTTACATCTTGGAACGCTTTGTCATCTTCAACAAATTTTGAAAAAAATTAACAAAGCTATCAGGTTAATAAATTGTCCCTTAACACACTGGTTCCATATGGTGCTTTAGCTAAAACATGATAAATTCTGGTAATTTGTTCTGGAAATTGTGTTCATAGTTTTTTTTTTAGATCAACAAGATGATATTTTTTTATCCCCACCTAAGGATTATATATTTTCCAGTGTGTCAATTAATTAGTTTTTCATGCTTGAAAATCAATATTGTAACCCTGGTAAAATACTGTCCACAATATACAACTTGGCTAGAGAGAACTTCTCTTTAGCTCAATCTGTTGAGTGAAAGACTAGTAAGCCTGGGGTTTCGGGTTCGAATCCTAGCGGAAGAACTGAAATAAATAATGACTTCTGTTACACACATGTGGTTTTTGCCTTGTTCTGTACGGATACAAGCAATTAGTCCAAAAAATATAAGATAATTGTAGGTATCATTCTATTTTTATCAACTCTTATCATATTAGTCATAGTTCTAAAAATGATCTTTAGAGTCATAAAATGTTCTTACAAAATGTCAATTAATGATAACTACCTAATTACATCAAATCTATCAAACAACATTGTTTATATATGAGTTGCCTTCAGTCGTGACTTATTGTGTGATGAATATAGAAACTCATAATTTTCAGATAAACAAAGCTTCATTTTCTACTGATATTCTCATTTATACAAAGATTGTCAGTAACAAAGACCGGAAACATATTTAACAAGGTTCCTCACTAACAATTTTAAATTCATACAGAACTTGTAAACATCGTAAGTCTTTCATACAGAAACTTGTTTATGTGTACTGCAAACTATATAACAAGGTTAAAAACTTTAATTTAAAACTTTATACACTTTCAGAACTTTATGATATTTACCTACAGAACTTGTTGATATTTACTTACAGAACTTGTAGATATTAACCAACAGAACTTGTTGATATTTACCTACAGAACTTGTAGATATTTACCTACAGAACTTGTTGATATTTACCTACAGAACTTGAACTTGTAAATATTTACCTACAGAACTTGAACTTGTAGATATTTACCTACAGAACTTGTTGATATTTACCTACAGAACTTGTTGATATTTACCTACAGAACTTGAACTTGTAAATATTTACCTACAGAACTTGAACTTGTAGATATTTACCTACAGAACTTGTTGATATTTACCTACAGAACTTGTTGATATTTACCTACAGAACTTGAACTTGTAAATATTTACCTACAGAACTTGAACTTGTAGATATTTACCTACAGAACTTGTTGATATTTACCTACAGAACTTGAACTTGTAGATATTTACCTACAGAACTTGAACTTGTTGATATTTACCTACAGAACTTGTTGATATTTACCTACAGAACTTGAACTTGTTGATATTTACCTACAGAACTTGAACTTGTTGATATTTACCTACAGAACTTGAACTTGTTGATATTTACCTACAGAACTTGTTGATATTTACTTGTAGATATTTACCAACAGAACTTGTAGATATTTACTTCAGAACTTGTTGACATTTACCGTAACACATATAATTCTAAACTTCTAACAACTTGTATACATACTTAAAGCTGTGAATAAACATGAAATAATAACATCGCAATTCATAGTTCATCACTATTACATTGCTGGAACATGGCCGAGTGCACAGGGTTAGATCAGTATGACTCACAGACAAAATAAATACAGAAATTATAGAAACATATTACAGAGATGAGCCACAAAGATAATGACCTGTAAAGGTCAGTGGGTGCCACTGAGGTGCTATTACCATAGAAACACACGTTACGGGGCCAATAAAAAAAATTTATCTATGACATCACATCTATTTCAAATGTATACAAATTGGCAATGTGTACTTGTTGATAAGCTACCATTTTGTTATGAACAAGAGAGTGAAAGTGTTTTGATCATCGTAGTAAGGAAACTTAATGAGGGTATTGTCTCAGCACTCCTAAAACACAGGCAGAACGTACCTTAACAGTTCACAGACCTTACCGCTCCTACCAACACACATATTTTTTTCCTGCCACCAGTATATAATCACCAACAACATATATTTTTTTATTTCACTATACATCTTTCCTTAACTGGAGATATACACGTCTATCGCATGTAAATTTCCTACAAAGCCAGTGCATGCCTATTTATACAGTTACAAATTATCACACAGATGTAGTTTGGTAGACTTTTATACTATAAAACAAACTTGCAGACATTTTTCCTTATAACAAACCAGAGACAATCTGTACAGCTAAGTAGACTATAACAGCAATAAGATTACCATCTCAAATATACTTTATACCAAATCAGATCCCATTTGTACAGCTAGGTAGACTATAACAACGATAAGACTACCATCTCAAATATACTTTATACCAAATCAGATCCCATTTGTACAGCTAGGTAGATTGGTACGACAATAACACTTAACCATTTCGCATACCTAAAAACAAAGAAGTACTATCAAATGTTATACCATTGTCTTGTATTAGGACTTTTGAGTCACAATTTTCCATGCTGAGCCTGTGAGCTTTCTGAATAGATACGGTATATTTCTGTTCATAAGGTGTCACTCTAGCTGCAAATACAAGATAAATATATTTTTCAACATGTGGATCGATTTCAATGATCATAACCAGACATTTATCAAAAAGCTGTCCCAATCAATATCCTGTCAATCAACAGATGAATGTTAATAATTTTTCCGAAAGTTGAACGACTTCAGTAATTAAAATCTGCCAATTATGATGTCTAGTATATACGTCTGTCTATCGAGGTTCCCTTGGTGCACTACCTAACTAGTTTCGTGTATGACATATTCCGTCTCCAGATCTTATCAGATAAGTATGTAGACACCAATTTTTTTACCAAAAGTGAACAAATACCAGCCTGAATACATTTTGTTACGTAATCAGAGTGCTACAAATGTTCTTAAGAAATATTAAGTTATAAACTTATAATAAAGTGTTGAAAAGAGAACAAAACTTTTAAAGGTATATGATAAATTTAGTTTTAGTGGAAATGAAATTAACGCTCTTTCAAATACCTTGCCTTGCAATAAGCCCAACTCCTTTCTTTGAGTCAGAAACGATGTCAGCTGTGCCTATCTGCCACTGACCAACAGATCAATGCATTAACTACCAAGCATATAATTATTACACTTCAATTAATTTGCAGTATTTGTGAAATATGACCTTTGATCCTTAAACCTAGACCAATGACCTTCTACTTCTATATAAGATAAAATGTAGAATTTGGTGTTATGGTACTATACTATGAGAATGATATATCTGCTGACAGACCATCAGTAAGATATGGCACTGATTCTGAATGTTGAATGTAATGTGACTTGATGGATAGACATGAGTATGGGTACAGCCCCTCAAGCCGCCCCCCCCCCCCCCCCCCCCCCCCCCCTCCATCCCCACAAATGAAAAATGGCAAGAACATAAAAATTTCAAGATTTTTTTCATTTCTTTTTTCACAGGCAACTCTAATAACATGCAATGTATTGGCATAAACCCAGAATGAATCAAACTTATCAAAAAATGCAAACTTACAAATTGAACAAGGGGGTCTTTATTCAAATGTTTAATGAAAATGTTTACATTTCAATCATCCTGCCTCTATGCTTTGAAATGTACAAAATATTTACCCACAACTGGTGTTTAACATCACATTCAATATTGTGTCTAGATTTTATCAAGTTTGTTATTTGTTTTTTTTTATGGAGGACATGTTAGAATTTCCAAAGAAATATAAAAAAAAAAAACAGGAAATAGACTAGATAACATGATACCATCTGAAGCCTTTGGACAAAAAACATCCATGAAAAACAAACATTTCATGAGAAAAAAGTTGTGGGTACTGATTCTTGTCCTGGAAGTTACAGAGTAAAGAATGAAATCCAAAAAAGCTTTAAAAAACTTTTAAAGTTCTATTCTCAATTCCTCCCTCACTTCTTCTAACCTCTGTACTCAATCAGGGATTCCAACCTCTGTACTCAATCAGGGATTCCAACCACTGTACTCAATCAGGGATTCCAACCTCTGACCTCAATCAGGGATTCCAACCACTGTACTCAATCAGGGATTCCAACCACTGTACTCAATCAGGGATTCCAACCACTGTACTCAATCAGGGATTCCAACCTCTGACCTCAATCAGGGATTCCAACCACTGTACTCAATCAGGGATTCCAACCTCTGTGCTCAATCAGGGATTCCAACCACTGTACTCAATCAGGGATTCCAACCTCTGTACTCAATCAGGGATTCCAACCTCTGACCTCAATCAGGGATTCTAACCTTTGAACTCAACCAGGGATTCCAAACTTTATACTCAATCAGGGATTCCAACATCTATACTCACTCCATACCCAATAAGATATTTAAACCTCCATACTCAATCTATACTCAGTTACATATTCCAAACTCTGTACTCAATCAGTGATTCCAACCTCTGTACTCAATCAGTGATTCCAACCTTTGTACTCAATCAGTGATTCCAACCTTTGTACTCAATCAGGGATTACAACCTCTATACTCACTCTATACTCAATCAGTAGTTCATCTGGCATTCTAACCCTAATAGTATCAAGCTTGGACAGATTCGGTCCATGAAGCCTCCAAACACCACTAGGGCTCATCTGTGTCTGTCACAGCAGAAATTGAAAATATGTGGGGAAAAAAAAGATCAGATACAAAACCAATCTCCTTATTCCAAAGTCTGAAAACAACTTACCATTGATGTTGGCCTGTTGTACTTGCTGTACAATAAAACAGACATTAGAGAACAGACAGGTAGCCAATGAACTGTGTAACTGTTGATCTAACAAACACCTGTCTACATACCTAGGCATACCTTGACTAACGAGCAGAAATTTCCAACCAGATATGCGGGATATAGGTATTGATTACAAATTAAGGCAGCAAGTCAGCAGTGCTTGATTGACAGGACAAAATATCTGCCAAGATAATAAAATATTAATTTACTTGTTTGACCTATAGATGTATCAATTTCTTTGTGGGTCAATGAATATTTTATACCAGTACAACAAAGTAACTTATGCTGAAAACTCCTGATTAAATACTATTGTATAGGTAATCTGCTCATTATACAGGTTTATCAAAATCAAAACAAGGTGGAAATATTCTATTAGTATTGTAGATAAGGTTTACCTTATCTGCTCATTATAAGATAAAAACAAAACATTAAAACATAAAAATTAGAGATCAGATGAAAGTGTTGGACAGTTGAACAGAGGGAAAAAAAGCAGTAATAATTAAGATTAACAAGGAAATGGTGAAGGAATGTGGGATTGAAGGCAGCTATAGATAAAAGTGAAGACCGATATAATGAAGGAATTCAGAAATTGAATTATTTTGGGGAAACATAAATTTTGAATAAACGGGTAGACAACAAAGGACAATAGAGTAAACAGTGAACAATATCTATAAGATAGATGGACCTGATTCCCCAGTACTTCCTATAGAGCTAAGACACAGTGACTAATACACAAGTATACTGTCTCTACTTCTGAAGATAAACACAGCTACATGAGTACACATCCAGCCACTGACCACAGTAATACATCAAGTCTGTTATAGACATCAGGTAATTCACTATTTTCTCTGGTTTTTACACTGGCCAATGAATTATAAAGAACCCTCACATCCCACCAGGAAATACTTCTGTACTAATGAATGATATATACCTTTGTGCTACAGTACTGAGAGAAATACACAAAAACACCAAAAACTGTACCAGATTTCTTGATCAAAAAAAAAAAAAAAAGAGAAAAGTTAAAATTACATGCTGGAAATACTGTGTCACATTCCCTAGGAAGTTTGTAGACTGCATCAATACAAAAAAACATTTAAGAAAATGTGACATAGAAATAGAATACATATTAAAAAATAATGATCACTACATTTTGGATAATTGCCTTTAATTACATCAGCTTGTGGTAATATATCTGATGAGTTCTGGGGATTTGCTAATGTATGTCTGTTAATTTATATTTGAGCCCTTACTGCCACTGCTTATCTAACCACCAAAATGTTCCGAAAGAAGTTCGTGAAACAAAAGCCATTCTGTCTGACGAGGTTATTTATATGGAAATATGGAAGGAGAATTTGGATTTCCTTTTTCATCACATATTAATCATATTCTTTATAAATAAATAACAAATAATGCTGTAAAACTGCATATTTTTGTGGGGATCAATTTTCGTGGTTTTTAAAAAAAAACACTTTTTCATGAACATTTCATTTCAGATATAAATAAAGTTTAATAAATCCACCTGTACTAAGATTCAACACTTCATGGATGTATGAATTTGTGGATAAAGTGGAATATCCTCGAAAGGAACAAAAATAAATTCCCACAAATATTAATAGTTTTATAGATAAAATCAAGATCTGTTTATACTAATTGTCTCTATTTGTGACAAAAGCAATTCTTTCAGTGTATCTTGATGTAAGACAAAAATCTGAAATCTGAAGATACGTACCTTGCATCAATATTCCAGTAAAATCAAAGAAATCAAAATAGAGAAAAATGAAGTAAATCCTGGTCGATATAACTGTACGTGTATTTAGGTCTATATTCCTATCAGCACAACTTTTTCATTTACAAACATCAGCATCATGTTCTGTTGATACTACACAGTGTGTGTGGCGTGTACTACATGACAGAGTACATTGCTATGAAATCAACATATACAGGAAATGGACAGCCCTATAACCATCCTCAGCTGTGATGTCACACAAAGCATTACCCCAGGCCCCCTCTCAACGGTGTCGTGACCCTTTATTGTAACAAAGGCCATGTATATACCCACACAAAAGTGTAAACAAATAACACAAAAATTCATAGGGATTGAGTGAGCTAATGTTGTGATAAGAAATTTTGTATCAGACTCAATTTTAAAGTAAATTAAGGAAACATTCTGCATTACTTAAAATAACAATTAGGAAAAAAATAACAGTTAAATGTATGTAGACTGCAGATGTATTAAGCTATATACAAACAATGTGACCACAGTTCGTTAGGTGAGTACAACAAATAAAAAATTGCCTACTCTTTAAAGCAGATATATATAAAACCGATTTCAGTTATCACCTTTGACAAAGAGCCAGTGCCAAATTTTTCTCACCTATTAATGATAAGATATTTTCTTACCTGTTAATGATGAAATTTTTTCTTACCTGTTAATGATTAGATTTGTTCTTACCTGTTAATGATGAAAATTTTTCTTACCTGTTAATAATCTTTAAGAAAAACAGTTCCATAAATTAGCTTCTTCATTATTTCCAGATAGGAAATAAAAGTTTTGTGGACAATGTACAGAAGTATAACCTGGACCACAGTAGATTAAAACTCCAGGTAGATTATTTAGGATTTCTGGTGTAATATCCAACAGGAAATAAAACGATAAATCCTTTCAGGATTCAGCTTGAATCTGTCTGATTTAGTGAGAGAAATAGAAATGAAAGTTGAACACATCTAATCAAATGAAATGTCATATTGGTTTCACGAAATCTGCATGTTAAATCCAGGGAACAAATAAATCATACTTCCATCTGGAGCTGTACTCCTTACACCATTGGAAGGAAGGAATCAAATGTAACACAGTGTTAGGAGACTAGCCGACACAGCCCCTAGTGTGGAGAGCTGTGCTAACACAAGCCTGCAGTCTCCGCAGCTATCAACAGAATTCCTTCAATACACACCTATACATCTACAGTGAACTCATTGTGCTTTGTTCAACATTCTCAACATTTTACAGAATTAATGGAAAATGTAATTATGAAGGAGCATCTTAATTCCCTGCATTATCTTATATACACTGTCCATGTAATTAAAAAAATTATTTTGTTTTATACCTGGTAAATAGCGGTGAAAACATGTACTGAAACATCCTCATAAATCAGTTTGATATTCTTATGAAAAAAACCCAAAATAACACCGAGTTTTAAAAAGGTTTTTAGAGATAATTGTACACAAGTTTAGTAAACCTATGAAGCAATTTACATGTTTAAGTTTCAAAACAGTTAGACAATTGTAAATCCACCCTCGGAATATTTCTAATAACATCTTAATGTTAGATGATATATTAATTACAGACTTGCATGGGAATGCAGAACAACTGACAAAACAACAACAAATAGCTTTTTTTAAAAAAAATCTTTTGTAGCCAAGCTTTAGCTGTTCAGTGTTATAACTGGCGTCTACATCAATACATCTTTACCATCATGCACATCTAACAACCACTGTCGCTCACAAACAAACAAGGTTTCCCCTTCACATTAAAGAATATGCAGGTTTGTGTACCGACAATGATACATAGATAACAACCCTAAACAGCAGTAACAGAAAAATAACAATAATAGATGTACTTTTATGTACCAGAAAAAACAAAACAAAAGGACAAATCATTACAGACACTAAGCAATAGATGAGCCTTATTGCAATCATTTACTGGAAGGAAATAGATGTTTTTGGCAAACTACCTACTGTGTGTATGTGTAAAGCGACTACAATATTAAACCATAACTGAAGAGCCGTGTTTATCGAACTAAAAACAACAAAGAAAATACAAACATGTTGACAGAATCTGAATTCAAACTCAAATAATGAACCTTAAGGAAATATATGAACAAAAGAAAGATTTACAAAGAGATTCCTTCAGAGCAGATTCATCGAAGACACCCGCTCTATAAATCTTGGTCAATCCAATTAAAAGTAATGTGACATGTCTCAAATGAGAAGACGGTCAATGACAAAGGAAACACAAGGCATACTAACAAGTATCAAACATATCTAAATCCACATCACACCAAGAAATAAAATATTTCCCGTTGAGATCATTATGAGGACTGTAAAACTGCTCCATATTCTTCATCAACCCACACCTCTTGAAAGCTTGTGTTGTGAGTTTATCTGTCACTTCTCAACATCTTGTATTATCAGTGATACTGGGAACAAGCCAATGAATATGGAATCAACTGCATCATGTAAATGCCATAGGTTGGGGAAGCAGGCTTGCTGCTATCCAGAAATGGAAAGTTTACCATAGGAAAATTGAAATCATCTGGGTTTTTTGTCATAGGAAAAGATTGTGGTAAGCGGCTGATGCAGAATAGTCTGCCATATCCTAGATTTCCTATTCAGTTAGATATGTATGTTCTCTCAGTTTCCTTTTACTCTTTTACAGACAACTTGATTCAAATTTAAAGGATTTCTACAGAATTTTTTTTTAAAAAATGCCCCTTGGTCTAACTCTCAAAATTCTAGACAGAATTTGTTGGAAAGGAACTCATCACCATAATTAAGAAATCTCAGATTACATGTATAAATATATCTATTTCATTACTTTGTTTACATGTAACTGATTAATATTCTTCTGGTAGCTGTTACATGTTGGAACACTCATCAGTCTGTGTGCCGGTACATATGTAATCATTTCCAGGTAATATACTTATCCAGACAAAACTCTCCTATGTTTCAGACACTTGGGTTGCCTGTGTAAATGAACCTTGTTAAATCCAGCACTAAATCTCCCACAGGACATCTGGTAGAAATATACTTCTCAAAAACTAATGAAGCATTAATTCTTTATAAATTTGAAACTGGTTTCACCGGCTATGTTACCCAAGTACATCTAGACAGTAGATACAGTAACATGTCTGGTAATAAGCCCACCTATATATATTGCTATTCAGGAAAATAAACTGCAAATGCTTACTCAAAAGTTTCATGACTGTTAAATCATCAAGATCTCCCGACAGTCCCTGTGTCAAAGTTTCATGACTGTTTAATCATCAAGATCTCCCTCCCGACAGTCACTGTGTCAAAGTTTCATGACTGTTAAATCATCAAGATCTCCCTCCCGACAGTCACTGTGTCAAAGTTTCATGACTTTTAGATCATCAAGATCTCCCTCCCGACAGTCACTGTGTCAAAGTTTCATGACTGTTAGATCATCAAGATCTCCCTCCCGACAGTCACTGTGTCAAAGTTTCATGACTGTTAGATCATCAAGATCTCCCTCCCGACAGTCACTGTGTCAAAGTTTCATGACTGTTAGATCATCAAGATCTCCCTCCCGACAGTCACTGTGTCAAAGTTTCATGACTGTTAGATCATCAAGATCTCCCTCCCGACAGTCACTGTGTCAAAGTTTCATGACTGTTAGATCATCAAGGTCTCCCTCCCGACAGTCACTGTGTCAAGGTTTCATGACTGTTAGATCATCAAGATCTCCCTCCCGACAGTCACTGTGTCAAAGTTTCATGACTGTTAGATCATCAAGATCTCCCTCCCGACAGTCACTGTGTCAAAGTTTCATGACTTTTAGATCATCAAGATCTCCCTCCCGACAGTCACTGTGTCAAAGTTTCATGACTGTTAGATCATCAAGATCTCCCTCCCGACAGTCACTGTGTCAAAGTTTCATGACTGTTAGATCATCAAGATCTCCCTCCCGACAGTCACTGTGTCAAAGTTTCATGACTGTTAGATCATCAAGATCTCCCTCCCGACAGTCACTGTGTCAAAGTTTCATGACTGTTAGATCATCAAGATCTCCCTCCCGACAGTCACTGTGTCAAAGTTTCATGACTGTTAGATCATCAAGATCTCCCTCCCGACAGTCACTGTGTCAAAGTTTCATGACTGTTAGATCATCAAGATCTCCCTCCCGACAGTCACTGTGTCAAAGTTTCATGACTGTTAGATCATCAAGATCTCCCTCCCGACAGTCACTGTGTCAAAGTTTCATGACTGTTAGATCATCAATATCTCCCTCCCGACAGTCACTGTGTGAAAGTTTCATGACTGTTAGATCATCAAGATCTCCCTCCCGACAGTCACTGTGTCAAAGTTTCATGACTGTTAGATCATCAAGATCTCCCTCCCGACAGTCACTGTGTCAAAGTTTCATGACTGTAGATCTCTTGAAGAAAATGATGGATATCCTTCAGACAACGTAAAACTTCTCGCAGAATTTACTGCCATTCCTGAAGAAGTTTGATCACTCTACCCATGTAAAACCTATCAAAAACTTTTCTACCATTACTGAATACAGAAAATGTCTAATCACAGGAAGGATATTGAATCTGACAGAAAATCTGTAATCTGAGGGAAGACATCCAATCAGAGGTAAGATATCAAATCATGAGGAAGATATCCAATCAGAGGTAAGATATCATATCATGAGGAAGATATCCAATCAGAGGTAAGATATCATATCATGAGGAAGATATCCAATCAGAGGTAAGATATCATATCATGAGGAAGATATCCAATCAGAGGTAAGATATCTCTTCAAATGAAACTTACCCAATCAAAGGGAAGGTATTGAATCAAAGGGGAGATATCCAAATGAAGCATACGATCTGATCAAATGACATATTTTTTTAATCCAAGTAGTCATCCAATCAGATTGAAGACATTCAATCTGGGGACAAGTATAAAATGAGAAAGAAGTAGTCAAACAAGAGGGAAAACATCCAATTAGAAGAAGGTATCCAATCAGAGGGAAAGGTATCCAATCAGAGGGAAAGTATCCAATCAGAGGGAAAGGTATCCACTCAGAGGGAAAGGTATCCAATCAGAGGGAAAGGTATCCACTCAGAGGGACAGTATCCAATCAGAGGGAAAGGTATCCACTCAGAGGGAAAGGTATTCTGTCAGAGGGAAAGGTATCCAATCAGAGGGAAAGTATCCAATCAGAGGCAAAGGTATTCACTCAGAGGGAAAGGTATCCAATCAGAGGGAAAGGTATCCAATCAGAGGGAAATGTATCCTGTCTGAAGGAAAGGTATCCAATCAGAGAGAAAGGTATCAAGTCAGAGGAAATGGTATCCAATCAGATGGAAAGGTATCCAATCAGAGGGAAATGTATCCAATCAGAGGGAAGATATTCAGTCATTGGGAAGATATTAAATCAAAGTAAAGGTATCCAGTCTGAGGAAAAGTATCCAATCAGAGAGAAAGGTATTCTGTCAGAGGGAAAGATATCCAATCAGAGGGAAAGGTATCAAGTCAGAGGGAAATGTATCAAGTCAGAGGGAAAGGTATCCAGTCAGAGGGAAAGATATCCAATCAGAAGGAAAGGTATCCAATCAGAGGGCAAGGTATACAATCAGAGGGAAAGGTATCCAATCAGAATGAAAGGTATCTAATCAGAGGGAAAGGTATTCTGTCAGAAGGAAAGGTATCCAATCAGAGGGAAATGTATCAAGTCAGAGGGAAAGGTATCCAATCAGATGGAAAGGTATTCTGTCAGAAGGAAAGGTATCCAATCAGAGGGAAAGGTATCAAGTCAGAGGGAAATGTATCCAATCAGAGGGAAATGTATCCTGTCAGAGGGAAAGGCATCCAGTCAGAGGGAAAGATATCCAATCAGAAGGAAAGGTATCCAATCAGAGGGAAAGGTATCCAATCAGAATTAAGGGTATCCAATCAGAGGGAAATGTATCAAGTCAGAGGGAAAGGTATAAAATCAGAGGGAAAGGTATCCAGTCAGAGGGAAAGGTATCCAGTCAGAGGGTAAGGTATCCAATCAGAGGGAAAGATATCCAATCAGAAGGAAAGGTATCCAGTCAGAGGGAAAGGTATCCAATCAATTGGTAAGGTATCCTGTCAGAGGGAAAGGTATCCAATCAGAGGGTAAGGTATCCTGTCAGAGGGAAAGGTATCCAATCAGAGGGAAAGGTATCCAATCAGAAGGAAAGGTATCCAATCAGAGGGCAAGGTATCCAATCAGAGGGAAAGGTATCCAATCAGAGGGAAATGTATCAAGTCAGAGGGAAAGGTATCCAATCAGAGGGAAAGGTATCCAGTCAGAGGGAAAGGTATCCAGTCAGAGGGAAATGTATCCAATCAGAGGGAAAGATATCCAATCAGAAGGAAAGGTATCCAGTCAGAGGGAAAGGTATCCAATCAATGGGTAAGGTATCCTGTCAGAGGGAAAGGTATCCAATCAGAGGGTAAGGTATCCAGTCAGAGGGAAAGGTATCCAATCAGAGGGAAATGTATCCAATCAGAGGGAAATGTATCCTGTCAGAGGGAAAGGCATCCAGTCAGAGGGAAAGGTATCCAATCAGAGGGAAAGGTATCCAATCAGAAGGAAAGATATCCAATCAGAAGGAAAGGTATCTAGTCAGAGGGAAATGTATCCAGTCAGAGGGAAAGGTATCCAGTCGGAGGGAAAGGTATCCAATCAGAGGGAAAGGTATCCAATCAGAGGGAAAGGTATCCAATCAGAGGGAAAGGTATCCAATCAGAAGGAAAGGTATCCAGTCAGAGGGAAAGGTACCCAATCAGAGGGAAAGGTATCCAATCAATGGGTAAGGTATCCTGTCAGAGGGAAAGGTATCCAATCAGAGGGAAAGGTATCCAGTCAGAGGGAAATGTATCCAGTCAGAGGGAAATGTATCCAATCAGAGGGAAATGTATCCAATCAGAGGGAAATGTATCCTGTCAGAGGGAAAGGCATCCAGTCAGAGGGAAAGGTATCCAATCAGAGGGAAAGGTATCCAATCAGAAGGAAAGATATCCAATCAGAAGGAAAGGTATCCAGTCAGAGGGAAATGTATCCAGTCAGAGGGAAAGGTATCCAGTCAGAGGGAAAGGTATCCAATCAGAGGGAAAGGTATCCAATCAGAGGGAAAGGTATCCAATCAGAAGGAAAGGTATCCAATCAGAGGGAAATGTATCCAATTAGAGGGAAAGGTATCCAATCAGAAGGAAAGGTACCCAATCAGAAGTAAGATGTCCACTCAGAGAGATGATACCTAATAAGCATTTATTGGATTCTACTCTAAAATCTGAAAGTTTCAGGGTGTGAATTGCTTCGGAGAATCTATCTAAAAGTATTCCTAAATTAGAACCAATTTTCAAACGCACTTTAACCTACCAGTATATATCTCTATGAACGAAGGTCATACATAGGCTCAATCTGCTTTAAAAACACCATATTTACCCTACCTTTACTTTCCTACTTCCGGCATTGTCAGTAATACATTTGACATTTCTAATTACTTTTGATACTTTATGTTCTATCAGACTTAAGTAACACAAATGACTGTCTTATTTTTTGTACGTCTTCCATAATCACGGAATTATAACCAATTTTTTTCATTTCATATCCAAGCAGTAAATCAGATCAGTTTTAATTTCCGGTTCCCATCCACAAATAAATCATACATCTGTTTGATATGTCTCTGATCAATACAAGTTGATAAAATTTCTTTTATAATTGTAAAATAAATTAGATTTAATTTCATTGAGTGTCAATATTTTAAATGAGAATTGAAATCAATGCATATGAAATTTGATCAGGAAGTTTCATCAAGATATCAGAGAACTAGGTACCTTAATTATAATCTGCTGTGATTAAATATGGATCTCTCATCAAATAAAAGTACACCTACCACACTCAGTCAACGACTGGTACTAACCAATATTGCATATATTCTGTTCGTATATCTTTCATACTTAATTCTGACATCTCTCAATTTGTTTTTATTACATGAAAGGATTTTTTTTTTAAATTAAGGGTTACCTTTCCAACCCCATAAATAAAAAAACTAGAAATATAACTGTCCCATTCCCATGCGCTTTGAGATATTCATATTAAAAGTAACAGTGACCTTAACCTTGACTTTCGAACCTTGAACCATGAACTTTAGGTTTTGCCATTGTGGTAATCATCACACAAAGTATTGTTGAAATCTATTCAGGAACAAGGGTGAATTTAGAAAGCATTTATAAAAACAAAAAGCGCGATAATCATGTTTAATCTAATAAGTTTTGAAATCAATTAACTGAAAATACTTCCTTTAGAGGTGTTACAACAGTAATTAATCTTTTAAGCCAAAAATGTCACACTTGTTTATTTGTATGCGAGAGTAGGTTTTGTACACTCAAAATTAACACAAATAGTTAAAATTCATGGCAGACTATGTAATGTCCATGTTGACTGTCAATTTCTCTCAACTCATCAGATCTCTTGTCGGTACATTGAATGTTCTTTCCTGTTATGAGAAAAGTGTTGGTCTGAATATGGCTAGGAATGTCCAAGAGTAAATAGGGACATGAAATGATATAAACAGCGTAATGATATTAATTTGGATGTCTCTGGTCAATGAAAACAACAGCCCCTGGCATCTTCCAGATGAGGTCAATCCTACATCATATTACCTGTAACACCAAATCAGGTGTATAATTCCTGTTCTGGTACTGGGCTTATGTAATATAAACTAACATAGTTGACAGGTATATGAACACAAATGACACATATGCTGTTACATGTTTGACTAAGCATGGTTAGTTTTTATATCGTTTTTGGAACAAAACTGATCTCAACATATGATAATGTTACAATATACAATCAAATCGTCTTGGCAATAAAATATTTCATTTCTTAATTGGAGGATGCAGCCGATCTTGAGTTTTGGCAGCATTCAGAACATATTTCAGTGATATTTGTAGATAACATCAATATATTTTAGAGGGATAACAATGCAATTGTTGAAAGTTTTAGTTACACCAGAACATGTATATACACTCTGATAGGCCGAAACCAATGTTACAGGGAGATCGTACATTTTTTATACTTAGGGAGAAGGAAAGCACATTAATTCCAACCTTATATCAAATTTTTTTCACATTAAGGATAGGTATTCCCATCAAATATCTGGTAATATCATCTATATGACATATTTTAATAAAAAACCAGTATCATAAAATGTTTAAAAATTGAAATTCTTTCTATATATAGAAAATTATTCCTGAAATATTTACCTTTTCATACATAACATTTCAACATAAAAGTTTACAGTAGCTGACACAATGCTATGAAATCCAAGTTTATACAAGTCTCACTTTGTTTCTTTAAGGCAGCTAAACCTTCAAATATTGTCAGTGTTTGTAAATATTTATGGTGTCAAGGACCAGGGAACAAGTGTATGTCGAAAACAACGAAATACTTGTTAGTGAGCATGTGCACCATGCAGTGTGAGGTAACGGACACGTAGTCTGTATACATAAATACACAGAAAAAGCTTCCTCTCTCAAGGTTAAAATAAAGTAAACAAAATATTGCTACAGTAGATTTTAACCCTTCCGTCTTTTAAAAGGCTTAACTTATAGTGGCATTTCTTCTGAAAATGTTCTGTCGAGTGCTATATTGGACCCAATTGCTGTTTAGAATGAAAATGAAGGGCACAAAGCAATACTTTTACGATTCATAGTATATCAAAGATGTTTAAAAAATGACATTGGGCATTTTCTTTAAAGGAAACTGGTTTTGACTTCCGGGATATTTTTAACGATTTTTTTAAAAACATTTGCATACGTTACAAGAATTGTTAGTTTTTAATCAACAAGAGGCCCTGAGGGACTGTATCTATCACCTAGATATTTCAACAATTATGAAAAAACATTAGGTATACAATAATTAATTTTCCATTTTTGGGATCTGTAAGATCAGTAATACGCTGTCATAAGAAACCTACCTTTGTATCCAGGTGCTATTATCGGGTCCTCCCCCTCTGTCTTTAGGGGCAGACAAATTGATCATCTTTCACACAGTGGGAAGGATGCAGCAGACCGTCTCTTTATTCAAATAAATCGCCGCCACACCGAAGGATGCGTGTACAACTGAAAATTGTCGATATTGGTTAACCTCAATAGAAGAAAAGATTTTTGAATATATACTTTCACGTTGTGCCTCTCTCATAAGCCAAGCTATTTCTGACCACTAGGATGTGGGGGGGGCACATCCTTTTGTTTGTAAACTAGGAGTAAATCAATTACTAAAGGACACTAAAAGGAGCCCCTTTGTATGTACAGAAGGTTAAAATGCGCTCAATTTCATTGCAATGGAAGAAAAACAAAACTAGGGCTTCCCACACCAATTATTTCCTTGTGAATTAAAGTCTAGCCTACTGGCACACACATGAGAGAAGGACCTGTTCCAAGATGTCGGTGGATAAGTGGCATAATCTTTTAGCATTCCTCTGTAAAACTTGTTGACTGGAAGGCTATAGGGTATACAGTATGCAGTCAACTGTAAAAGAGGAAAGTGTTTTATGAATTACCTTCTAAAGAGAATCAGCTACATTTTGAGACCGAAACTTTTACAAATCTATTATTCAAGGTCATAAGGTCATAGTATCTACCATTCTCACAGAATAAAATAAATATTTCTCAGTTTACAAACAGTCAACCTCAAATCGGAAACTTTTTCAAAATTATTATCTACGGTCATAGAGAACCACTATTCTCACTGAATAAAAAGATTAATATTTATCTGTATACAAACAGTCAACCTATAAATAAAGAAAAAGATGAAATAAAAAATAACCATGTTCTCATGTAGAACCCAGTTTACTCAATTTTAAAGCATCTTCTATTTTTTCAACCTGCCCAGATAAAATGACAAAGATAATCTCTCTTTTAATCATCATTCTCTTAATCAAGTTAATTACTGCACACCTGGCATGATGCACAGTTGTCTCCCCACAACAATTAAACAGCCAGAAATCGCTGACATTTGCCTTCCAGCTGCAGTTTAATGATATTGCACGGCACAATATCAAAGAAACCTCGTCTTTCATTGATTCTGTTTGTGTGCTAGGTTGGCCTTATGACATCAACAAATTAAGTAAAACATGGAAGGTTTCAGTCATGGAGCTCTGTTTCCCATTAATTCACACAGAGTATTGGCTACGACGAGTAAATCGGACAGAACGACAAGATATTGCTGCATATTTACAGATATAAAGAGACAAATCTTGCCAACATTTTCACAGTTCATGTGGAAAGATAAAAAAAAAGCTGTGAAAAATTCCAATCAGTGACCTGTATCTGATATAGTGTAGGGCAATTAAGTTTATGAGGACCAAGACAATGAATCAAAGGAAAGTAAGGTTAAAACCTGATTTCCAGAGTCAGAAATTAGGATGTGAAATCGTGAAACTCTCTGATGAGTTGGAAAAGAAAATGTGAAATATTGAAATTCTCTACAGAGTCAGAAAAGAGAATGTGAAACTGTGAAACTCTCTAATGAGTTGGAAATAAAAATGTGAAATAATGAAACTCTAAAAAAAAGAATGAATTAGGAAGCATTTAAACTTTAACAATCCTAGTCTGAATTATATCGTTTCTCCCTTTCCAAAAGAATTCCACGTAAAAGGACCTGGAAATTATTAGTCATCCTAAATAAGACCAAACCCAATCATCACACATCAGAGAAATACAACAAGGATGACAAGCAAGTCATTTTCTCGTTTTGTAAATAAGGGAGATAACATCAATCAGAAATCACAATGTTTGCAATAAACTTATTTTCTAAAGCCATCAGTAGACTCCTTAATGAATTTAAATCATCCATGAAAATTAATTTGATATATTTATTGCCTGTGAAATGAAAAGCACACATCATGTGATCAAGTGTGTATTAAAATTACAACTTGGATGCAAGTATAACTGAATATGATACACATGAAATAAAGTGATTAACAGTTGTTCCAAGTAGGATATAACATATTTTTTCTGAAACTATCGGTCTTCTGTGGCTACTCAACACAAGGCCAAACAGCCTTAATGGTCACCTGAGGTAAGCAAAATTGAATATAATGTTTATAAGGTTACAACTTTGACCAGGGAAGGTTTCTGCAAAATTTCATTGAATTCGGTTCAGGGTTTTTAGAGAAGAAGTTTTTGAAAATGTAAAAAGTCCATATCAGGTCTTGTTCTCAGTGCA